GGGGGGGGGGGGGGGGGGGGGTTCGAGAAAACATTCATCTGGAAAGCCTTTGAAGTTTACGTTACTTCATGTCAGTATCTGTTCCAAGCTCGTTCGAAATTTATAAAACACACTTGGCTTTGTGAGTTTGTGCCGCTATGCTTCTTTACTTAACTACGACATTTTCATTCAGCCAGGTACACCATCAAATTGATAAAAATGTCAAATGTATAATAATAACAATGAGAATTGAAGCTATTTCGATTCAGATATATTAATATGCTTAGGGAAATAATTGAAAATAATTTCCCTTTTCTCCAAGAATTTGGGCGTCCAAAGGCGTCCATTTTTCGTTCTAGGGGCGTCCCAGGACGCCTGGACGCCCTTCTGGCTAATAGCCTGATCATTGCATTCAGAAAGGACCAACTTAGATTTTGATATATAACACTTGAATTTACATGCAATATTGAACGAGAGACAACCAAAATAAAAATATTATTTAACAAGTATAACTACATCGGTATTTATAAGGTTGTTTTATGCTAATTTTTGGCATTTTCAAAAACATTAGATCAACGTTCAGACATCAATAGCGCAGTCAATATTGCATGTAAATTCAAGCGCTATATATCAAAATCTAAGTTAGTCCTTTCTGAATGCAATGATCTTTACTTCATTGCAATAGCTTTTATAGATTTCACGTTACATGAAATCAAACAGTGTCGAATTTTTTGTTGTGGTCTTCAGTGTCCGAATAGATCTGAAAGTAATATCTGCATCAGATCATTCAAAAATAATGCAAGTTTTTACGTCAGGGGCTGAAAGTGTAACATATTGGATATAGACTCGTACAAAATGTTTAACTTATTAAAAAGAAAACTTATGTTTAATATATACAAATGATATTTAATTTATTGGTATATTACAGTGTACCGCATGTGTGTAAAAATGCTTTTTTAAACCAACAAACGTATATCTATATTGTCATTCTTTATAAAAATTCACAAAAATCCCTAAAAATTCACAATTCCTCCCTGGCCAGGAGGGGTGCAGGGGGGGTGCTATTTTTCATGATAAAGCAAAAAATTATCAGAGACAAAATGAGATTCAATAATTTGAGTAATAACATGATGATAAGCGAACTGTGAACAACAATTACAATTCAAATACTGTAGCTAGACTTTGCAGTGATTAAGCAAGTTGATGGATGTGTAAAGTCACTGGAAAGCAATTGCAACGTACTCGTCCGGAAATTTTTTTTTTCCCTAAAAAGTTGTCGATGGGGGGGGGGATGTTGTTGCTTTCCGAAAATTTTTTTGGCGGAGCACCCCCCTACCAGACCATGCTGGATCCATCCCTGAACACAGTTAATAGAATACATGGTTTGGAGACTCGATGAAAGTACAATATAACTCATTAACTATGTTGGTTTCGGTTTATGCAAGAATTTGGGCCTATCTCGTCACGTGTGTATTGTATTTTTCCCCGCACAACCAATAGCAATGTTTAAATTGAGCATTTGTTCACGTTACGGATGGATAACTCAACGACAAACTTGTTATTGGTTATTTGAGCGAAAATACAATGCACACGTGACGAGATAGGACCAAATTCTTGCATAAAGCTGGACAATAACATAGTTATAATGAGTTATATTGTACTTTACGAGTCTCCAAACCATCTATTAAAATAACTGTGGTTGTAACAAGGTTGTTGTCAAGCGCGCGGATGAACACGTAAAAACGAACAAGTTGCTACAAGTCTGCAAACAAGTTGTTACAAATCTGTTCGCAAGCTGTTGACAAGTTGTGTTCGCACTGCTTGTTCCCAGTTATTGTACAACAAGTTTGGAACAAGCTGTTAACAACTTGTAACAAGCTTATGGAATTATCAGACTTGTCACAAGGGTGTTCTGACAAGTCTGATACAATCATGATATAACAAGAATGTTACAACATTGACGACACAAGGTTGTAACAATATTGTTATATGCGTGACTATATCGGACTTGTTGGAACAACCTTACAACAAGTCTGATAACATCAACAAGGTTGTTGCAAGTTGCTAACAACTTGTTCCAAACTTCGTGACAACTTGGGACAAACAGTACGAACACAACTTGTTGACGGCTTGTTGGCAAACTTGTTACAAGATGCGCTATTTTTGCGCGCATAGGCAACAAACATGTGACATGTCACTCCAGTGATAATATGATAAAGTACAGCCGTATATAGCCCAGTGGCGGGCGGCAAATTTTCAAAAAATTCCAAGATGGCGACTCATTTCGAAGTTTTCGACAAATTACGAGATTTGGGAAAGTCTTTAGACAAAATTTCACATACTTTGCCTGCTGATGGAAATACAGAAGAACCCAACAAAGCCAGAGCAAGTCTACATCTCCGGGCTTTACTGACTGAAGCGAAAAATTTTAAGGTACTGTTCTGTCAGAGTCAACCGCGTACAACAGCTACTGTAGTGACCAGTGTCATCTTTATATATTTTTTTCTGCATCTATAAACATTCATATAAACTCATAAACATACAGTTATATTGTTTATAATATATTATTAACTTTAAAGATAGGCCCCTTGCCTTGTTTATGTTTTTCTGTCAGTCAAAACGTTTTCCAATCACAGGAGATGACTCAGCCTCAGGAATACAAATTGTGTAATACTGTATAATATTGTAATAATAATGTATGCTCTAAATTTACAAAGCGTGGGCAAATTTTACCAAAACTGCAGATATTTCCTCTTGTGCAAACAAGTGTCATGTAATGTTGTCGTGATAAAACATTTAGGATTATGACTATACATCAGCCTATGCCTTTAATACGATTTCCTGTTGAGTGTTGACCAATCAAATACATGTTCACAAGACTGTTTTCACATGAGGGGAATTGTCTGCAGTTTTGGTATAGCCTGCGAGCAGGCTCTCTGGGGAAAGAGAGCCTGCAAGGATCCCTTTGATGATTCGGTGCATGCGTCCAATATTTGGACGCAGTGCTCTGATTGGTTGATAACTGATTCATATGAAGTGATTGACAAGCTTCCATAAACTTGC